GAAAAGGAAAATTGGTTTAAGTATGAGAATCAGAGCCAGGGATTAGGTGAATGGGTGAGATGGTACAGGAACAGGCAGAGAGCAGAATATGGATTCACAATGACACTGAGCAGAGAGACAGGTGGGAAGTAATACTTAAAGCAGGAGAATTATTGCATAGTAGAGAGAATATATATTTTGGAAACTGACAGTTTTAGGTAATAATTCCATGACTTTCGATGTTTACTTGTATAAATATAGCCAAATTATTTGCCTTATTATCTGTAATTTGAAACCTATAATATCTTCCAAATTTCTTTGTGTGAGAATTAAGGGAGATAAAGTATGGAAAGAACCTAGTACGAATACTGCCAAATGATAGGTACCCAACAAAAGATAAATGTTTACTATTGAACAGTTTATACAGGCAAAGACAGAGATGAGGAGTGAAGATGATGAAAGCCAAGTAGGAAAACCAGGTGAGTGCTCAGCAGGAGGAAAGTGCAGGACAGTAGTCTCCTGTGGCCTTCATTCACACGCCCAAATGGTGGGTTAGATGTAGAGATCTAGGTCATGCCTGAAGCAATAAACTTACTCAAGGTTTCAAGAATATAACATGAATCTTAAAATTCAAAGGAGCTCAGGTAATATCAGATAACATTGAAGTGAATGGGACTTGTCTTTTTTCCACATGCGGTCAGTGTGACAAGAGATAGTCTGTCAGGTGTAGCAGAACTCAGTGTGTTGGAAATAAGAATTAGTAAAAAATTTTGGGAAAAGTGTGAAGTAAGAAGGCTAATCACGTACAGCCTTATAATCTGATCTTGTCTCGATCCATTCACACCACTCTTTTCTAATAGAAATGCAAATCATTTGATCATTAACTTTTTCTCTCTTTATCTGTCCTTTACATTTGCTATTTTCTCTTCTCCATATTTCTCCCCTCTCCAAAATTCTACAATGCTTCATATCAGTTCAAATGACACCTCCTTGGTGAAAGCTTTCTGGGTCCCTCTGACAGAAAGAATTATTATCCACTCTGGGCTCACAATACTCAATTATCTATTGCAATGCTTAAGATATTATATTCTACCTCTCCGTTCCTTTCTCTGCCTCCTTTATTAGACAGTTCCAGTGTCTATTTGTCTTGGAGTTTTCAGCGCCTGGGACTACCTGACCCTTGGTAGAGTTAAAGGTGTGGGGACTGCTGTTAGGAGAGTGGTTAGGGAACTAACATTTTATAGATGAGAAAGATATTACCAGAAAGGTATCAGCAGTAGAAACTTAGCAGTCAAAAGTAAGGACAAAACAGGGTTAACTGATCATACGGTATTCTAAAGCAGATACAAAAATATGAACAGCAAAGAAGGATTGTTTTTAGGAAGAGAAATGATTAATCATCTTTAAAAGCTTTAGAAAATGACTCAGAAGAATCTGATGAAGGAAGGAGATTTGAGTTTGGGTGGTAACCACAATGCAATATACAGATGATGAATTATATAATTGTACATTTTAAACCTATATCATTTTACTAACCAATGTCATCCCAGATAAATTTAATAAAGTATAAAAAAATAATCTGCTAGTATAATTCTTACAACATCAATAAGATCAGGTCACTCAACTGCTCAAAATCATCCAAAGTGGCCCCACTCCACTCAGAATAAAAGCCAACATGATTACAAATGCTTTGAAAAGACCATGGTGATCTGCTCACCATCATCTCCCCCACCCCTACTTCTCTGACTTCCTTTTCCGCTTCCATTCACTCTACTCCAACCATACTGGATTCCTTGTTGTACCTCACACTGAAACTCAACTTAGGGTCTTTGAATTACCTATTCCCTTTGTGTGGAAAGCATTTCCGCCTGACAGCCAGATGGCTAATGCCTTCACCTTCTTCTGACTCTGCTCCAAGCGGTTTACCTTGGTCAACCTATTTAGAATATGAACCTACCACTACCCTTTAACTTGTTCTGTTTTCTCACCAGAACTTTTCAATTTCTACATTTATAATTTTATTGCATTTATTCAAAGTCTTGAGAAGGAATCTATTTACAGCTTGTATTCCTCCACTGGGATGTAATTCTTGAGATTATGGTTTTTGGCCTGTTTTTGTTTTGTTTTGTTTTGTTCAGTGAGCTATTTCAAGCATCTAGAGTAGTGCCTGTCACATAGTAGGTGCT